GGCAAGAAGCGCGATCGTGGGACGTTGATGCCGTGGCCGTTCTTGAAGTGCTTAATAGCGGCACCGGCGGCAGTCTCGAGCTGGACGACTGGTTGACCATCTTCGTTCATCTTCGGATTAATGATAATCTCGAGCTCCATGCCCTCAGTCTCCATGATGCGCTTGAGCGCTGAAAAGAAATTAATAATGTACGAAAATGAATGACTAAACGCCGGTACCTTTGAGGTTGATCCACAAGTTGTTGGTGTTGAAGATCTTGAATTTGCGCACTAGACATCACGTCAGAAGTGGAAGTATAGGGGAAAGCTCGTGAACCAACCAGACTTGAAGTCCTCGACGTGTTCTGATGGAACTTGCGCGATCTCAAGAAGGCGAATTGATCCCTCGTAGTCAATGAGAGTACCACCCTGTTGGAGAATGAGAGACCCATAAATATATCGATCCAGGTACGTACCTTGATGTCGGCCTTTGTCTTGTCAGTGACTTCCATCAAGAATTCTGCTTGAGAGTCGATCATGTGCTGAAGAATCTTTTCATCGACACTAGAACCAAGCATCAGTCAAGTACGGCGCAACGCGAACACCTCTTTGGTACTGACACTGCGCCCAAGTTGTCTGAGTTGGAGACGAAAAGATATTCCTTGCCCTCAGACAGCAATTGGTCCAATACACCAGAGTACAGCAACGCATTGTACAAGTCACCATGGCCGGGAGGATACCAGTGCTTCTTGTCATCGTCGGCACGCTTTGGGCAGGGAAGCAAGCTTTCCTTAAAGATCCGGGGGTAACGGGACTGATTGAATGTTGTGATGCGGAGTTGTTGATTTGCGTACTTCTTAATGATACGCAAGGTGTCCTCGTGGGTGTTGAAAGACGTCATGAGAATAAGTGGAACATCGACGCGGTTGCTCGTATTGAGGTGCTCGATCTGGCGCACGGTGAGGTCGAGGAAAGTCATGTCATCCTTGACTTCCAGTGCGCTCTTCGCACCAGTCATGCCTATTGACCATCAAAAGGACGCGTTGGAACCCACAACGTGGAACATACCCATGGAAGTGCCAAGACCACCGTTTACTTTGAGCACAGCAAGTTTATTAAGGTTATTGTGGTCATGGGGCTGAGATAAACTGTCATAGGCGACAATCTGGTCATCGGCGGGGGACTTGATGCGATCCCAGTCTCTGATAAGAAGAACTTGTTTGAATATGATATGTTTGGCCAAAAAGGAAGTGACGCACAGATCCACGCTTTTTGCGCGTTCTGAAAGATAGCGAGTAAAAAGATAGAAGAATGATTGCATTTCGGTGTCAAATGCCTGCTGCGCATCAGAGATGGCGGACACGTGTAGGGTATGTGGAGCTTACCTTCTTGGCATGTTCATCGCAAGTGCTCACCAAATGGCTGATTTCATTACGCATTGACTTTGCTGCAACACCGGTTGTGGCTGTTTTGAAGTCGATATGACTGCTGCCTTTAACGCGAGCGTTGAGATTGTCACGGGGAGATAAAGTCGCCATCGTTCTATGATGCGAGTGAGTTTAAGATATGGATGGAAGGTAAAATAAAAGAACATACTTTGAACTTGGGATGATGTGTATTGGCCTTGTGATTGTTGTGGACAAGTAGGGTTCTGTTTGAGCTCGTATGAGGAGACTCCTTGGTTTGTGGTGTCTTTTATAAAGTTCTGAACTGAGGTCAAGATTGTTGTGGAGACGGGGCGCGGACAAGTCCGAACCGAAAACGTTCTGCTCTTCTGGTATGAGCTCACACAACGATTTTCTTTGACTAGGTCGTCGTTCGTTGAACTCTCTGCTAGTGATAGAAAATTTTGCTAATGGTGAGGACGGCGTTGGAGGGGAAGTTGAATGATGGATTTGCTGTAGACCAAGCAATTTCAGAGGACGGTAGAGGTCGTTATATGAAGTTGGGGACGAACGTGCTTGCATAAAATCGATAAAGGGACCCCGCGTCTCGCCGCAAAATGGATACACCCAAGTTGCTGGGACAACCTCCTTGAACCTGGCTTTTATAACGAACACAACTAACTTTTCAGATAACTTTTACATATCGGGGGTGTCTAGAACGTATATAGCCACCTGTCGGATCATCAGATCCCCTTCTCCGGTGTTTGTGCTAGTGGCCTGTGTCATCACAGCGCTAAACCCGAGCTCATCCGACTTGAAAAGCTCAATAACTTTGCCATATCCACGCAATAATATGTGTCAAGATTCTCTTTGCTAGACAAGCCTGAGGAACAACTAGTCAAGCGCTGTAATCTCACCTGTCAAATAAAATTGAAGCAGTTGACTGTCCACTTTGCGGATCAATTCTCACAACGTCAGTGTATACGTATATGCATCACGGAAGCCCAAGTGTCGGAGTAGCCGCCACTGGCAAGGTAAATACTTTTCAACACAATGCCGACGTCCCTTAAAGCATGCATACCCATCTTATCAACGATTAGTAGGGTGCCTTGTCATCGTCCCTCGTTGCGTTTCCGTGCCTTATGCAAGCCAAGCCAATCAAGTCCCATTTTTGGGTCAGCTACCGTTCCCGCGCTAGTTTCAGGTGATCTCGGACAACATAAAAAAGTGCCTTCAGGACGGTCAAAAACCTTTTGTCAGGTACATGACTATCTTCGGGGCGCGCATGTCCTGTCATTCAAAATGGAAGCCTGGCTTGATTGCCGCATCCTGTCCCCTTCATGCATGCTCGTCATTCGTAGGGATGACCACGCCTGTCAGTTCGGAGATTACGGTACCATTTGCATATTGCAGGGTAGAGTCTGCCTCAAGTTGGCTCTGAGAAATGAGACCGACGTCTATAATTCGAAAGCATAATCAGTTGCTACACATAAGTCGTAAACCACGCTTCACTATCAGGGTGTCACCTAGCGACCAGCATCATCCCACCTCAGACGTGCGTTGTACACCATGCCGCAATGCAAAACGCCAGAAGAGGAGGCCACGCCACGTCCACCATATCACTGAAAAAGCCGCGAAGGAGCCCTACCTCGTGCACTCTGCGGTTTGCCTTTGAGCACGGCAGGGACAGTGATATGCGTCTTCGCCGCCCTGGAAGATAGAAGACCCATGAAGACGAGGATCTGCCGCGGAATTTGCTAGAGTACGCCGGCCCTGCAGGCTTAGTCACAGGGAGAAATAGCATTGGATCCTCGTCGCTATCTTCGCTGACACTTTGCCCGAACGAACGTTGATATAACTCATAATCATTATTTGTACGACTCGGGCTGCGTTCAGAATACTTGGGCCGAGGAGAAACCCCGGGCTGGCGCTGTGTGTGTTTGTTGCCCCCGGAGAGAGTTCGGTGAGCATTAAACGCGAGAAGGCTAAGCACCGAGAGTAAAATGAAAGGGAGGTAGATATTCAGATAGATACCGAGCTGGTCCGGGAGGAAACAAGGTGTATCCAGAAGCGAAGGCGGTGAATTTGGCAATTGTGTCAGGGTCTCCATTACAGGGACTCTTGAAATCAATGAGAGAAGTTGAAATCCTGGTCGATGTATTCCCATTGCCATTGAAAACGATTTCACTGTGATTTCTCGGGCTGCGGTCGACCCAGAAGCGGATGGAAAAGGCAAGGGGTGTGAATATTCACAGTAGTCGTGATCATCACCACTGGATATGTAACTATCTTCAGTAATCGGTCTGCGTGCGAAACAGGGGGACAACGAACCTGAATATAAGGGATGGTCCGAGCGAACGAAGCAGGAATTGCGATGCTTCATTAGACAGGGTGTTCTGGTACCCAAGGCCATGCCCCTGGCGGATGGTACCCCGTTCTCGCATCGGACCGCAGTTTGCATCAAAGGGTCGAGCAAGAGGGATGTGCGTGAATAGCACAATCGGGCTGGCATGCTCATGCCCAGAAAACCGCTTCACGAACTCGACGGATCCTCCTGCTACGGCAGGCCAGTTGTCATATGAATACCCTCGGTTCGCGCGGACAACGTCTTCTTCGACCAAGCCGATTGCATCGATGAACAAAACAGTATGGTTGCCAATAGTAGTCTTGTGGTTCAATGGTCCAAAATGGGAGGTGTACCTCGTTGCAGCTTCAAGAGAAAAGGAAACCTCTTCTCCGAGTCTGGAGATCCAAAAGATTTACAAGATTGCTCTAAGCATGGAGAATTCATGACGCACCCTAGGTCATGATTACCGGGAAGAAAAAATGTCGGTATAGACAAATCCCTTAAATTGAAGATATCGAAGAATCGCGCAGCATATGCATTGTACCTTGTGAGTAAACGAGCAACCTCAGTCGCAAGCTGGAGTTCCGCTGCTTGAATGCAGCGATGAATTAGAGAAAACATACTCGCTATTCGACATGGTCGCGCGACCGTTGTCCATGAGGTCACCCAGGAAAACAACGGCATGGGGTTGCATTCTATTTATCGTCGAGTGCCAACTCCTCCGGAGGTTGAGATCGATGATGAACTGGCCCAAGGCTTTCATCAGGAAGTTGCGATTAGGATACGAGCGGTGGTCAGCGATTTGAGGGTCTGCTACCACTAATACGCGTGCGATACGAGTGTTTGGTGCGTCGGGCTGACAATTGACACATAAGCATTAACTTTGAGACCATTATGACATTACTTCACCTGATGGATGTCGGGCCACTGACAATCATGTAAGACATGGTCGAACGTGCAAACCTCATACCAAAGGACGACTATTATCCAGGTTGCCCGAAGGCCGTTCACAACCATGTTGTGTGATGGAGGCCATAGCTTCACGTTACGTAGATAACCTGGCATGGCGAGCGATAGATCGAGCTAGCAGGCACTAGTAGCTCCGATTGAGAGCAAAAGCTGTTCCTTGTTGTTTCTTCGTTATAATATGCACTGCATTCATAAACGGGTAATTTTGTGAGAGGCTTCCGAGTTCGACGACCAATAAGAACGGGCCGTACAACCAACTCCAATTGAAAGTGCGATTTAAGCTCGTGAGCCCAGTTACTGAGGAATCACTTCAAGGCGCCTATTAGTAGAAGAGCGACTAATGTATTATGTCATTAATATTACGTAGTACCAGCGACTTGCCAGCGACTACATAGTTACAAACGCTGCAGCGCTGAACAGCTAGTACTCAATCGATGGTAAGATCCCGGTGGGAACAGTCAAAAGTCATAAAGTGAAGTCTGAAATCATAAAATAGCATCTCGCAACCTCTCGTTCCCTCGGAAAATAACATGACCGAGGTCTCGAGCGAAGTGGGGCGCTAGATGGGCCACGCACGGCCTCTTTGGTCTACGATGTACTGATCGGGAACTTGAAGTACTTCCAGTCGTTGCATCGGGAGCTGGTTGGCCCATCGTGGTGGATCTGGATTCAAAATCGTTCAGACGGATCGCATCCATTACTGGAGGCGCAGGTATTCGCCGTGATGTTCTGCACGAGTTACAAGTGTGGATAACAAGATGCCCGTGTGATTTGGAATCTAGATATCACCGCGACTCGATAAGCAGGTACGAAAACGATGTTTACTCGACACTCACTCTTCACCCGTAAGATCGAGGAGGCGCCAGGTATCAACACGATATGACACCCCTTGCATATAACGCGTTTTACTGTTGGATCACTGCCTTCTATGAGTTCTACGATGGAAAGTGCGAAATGCATGTGCTCACATCTTGACATTCGTTTTTTGCCCCACAACTTTCATCGTGTCTATGTAACTCCTAGACAGGTCCGCAGTGGACACGACCCTCTTTTGCCGTTTTTTCGGTAGGTTTTGGGTATGGCTAGTCTCGCAATTGCTAGACGGAACCTGCGAGGGGCCAGCTGTCATGCCATTGAGGAGAACGCTAGCTTGGTAGAGGAAGTTGAGACGTTGGATAATATCGCGATTGCCAACCCTGCTTGGGTTGGGGATATCGTCTTTGTTCTGTTTGCCCATCTGACCAGTTGAGCAGTTGGGTAGCTTTAAAGCGCCGAAATATTTGGCTTGACAAGTGTCTGCCGTCACTTCATTATAAATAAAATAACGTGAAGGCTATCAACCGACCTTAGCTCAGTTGGAAGAGCGCGAGACTGTAATGGATAAACAAATCATCTTGAGGTCGCCTGTTCGAGCCAGGCAGGTCGGACAATCGCGTCTTGTGTCTTTTTGTCACTTCAAGCTGTTATTTTGCCAAACGCAAGTATGTAGTTCGGGAACAAACTTACTACGTATACGATAATTAATGTTTGCGGCATCGTGGAGGGGTATTTGTGTCTACATTTCCCTCACTGATCCTCTGAGTCCAGTGGCATTTGCTTGGACACCGACGCATCGTCTAAACCAATAATACAGTTATATGACAATGGGAAGTGCAAAACGAGAGCCCTCAGTATGACCTGATAGACCTACGCCATGGTTGTGATCATCACGTATTACGTCGGAGATAGCAAATTCGAAAGACTTTCAAAGGTACACCTGGCCAGACCACTTCTGTCTCTGTATGGGATCGCGTTCAGCTCAATTCTAATTTGCAGGAACTCTCTCACGAACAAAAAAAATGCAACTGTCGTCGAACTCGACGACCACGCTAAAGCAGCGGTGGATATTCCGATACGTCCATTGATTCGAATCGTGAAGGTGGATATCTCAGTGAGCGCCGTGGTTTGAATCTAGCTAGCTTGTGTAAACCTGTTCCAGCAACCTCCTGCGACAAATAGAGGTCTTCCACCAGCGTGGTGAATGCTTTAGAAATGAGTGTGACTAAGAACAAACGCAAAGCCACGAATAGCTAGCCTCCGATAAATGCCAATGAGACTGCGGCAGCTGAACGAACCATTAGGAAACTGAAGATAGATCAATACGCAGCGGTAATTGATGCTCCCAAGCACACGGACATCGCGCGAACTGCTGAGGTCGGACGGCCTTTTCTGTTTAGCTCGGCAACATCCTCATCGAAGTCCTCTGCCAAGTGAGAAGTTTCGATCACGAAGCTGACTGCTGCCGAGCGCGTGACTGCAGTGTTATTATATGCAATGTTGGCGGAGGAAGCGCGGATGGAGACAGAAAATCAAATGGTATTTCTAAGAGTGTAGTTAGGGCTGCGGTCGAGCTCTGAGATGACAGCAACGAGAGAAGAAGCTTATGGATGAGAAGCGTGGGGTAACTCCTGTGGCAAAACCAGGCACTCGTGATCGTTGGAGAGAAATTGCCAGTACTAGCACTACGAGCAACTTCTTTTTTTTTTTTGAAAAATAACGCAGATGAGACTGGAACTCGACGATAGGAGTTCACAGATAGATTTCGAGAGAAAACTGGGTGTCGTTTAGAAGGGCGATTTGTGCGTGGATCTCGAGTCCCAAAACTCGATTATTTGATTAGATAGTATGTATCAACTTTCGGATGATCATAATCGACATACATGTCTCCAGGTACTAAGTAAACGTTGTCAATAAGCAGCTACTAGGCAAAGAAAAAATTTGGTCATTTCCAAGTGCTTACAACGAATTTTATACGATACCCACTTCTGATGACCCGCCCGTGAGCCACCCGCAATTCTACTTCAATTGAGACTTCGCTAACGTGGAGTCAATCAGGTCAACGGCCCAGAAATTAGCCCATACAATAGCTGACAGGGGTGTTGGAGGCGTCAATGACAAAGAGACCGGCGATAGCTTGGTGATATCTCTGCTGAGATGTAATATGAACGCTGCACAACCACGATGAGACACAATTAGAAAATCGCGAACACGAACCTTACACACGAATTAAAACACATGTCCAAATTCTTAAACTGTGCACCTGTTTGGTTCTGTAGGGATTTTTATTAGTACATGTTTTTGCAAGCATGAAGCGTCAACAGCTCTGTGAATTGTTTTCCCTGCTCATGAGCTACGGACGAAACAGTCGGCTAGGGATTGGTTTTAAGACATGAATCTCGGAGCACAAATAATGAATTCGCTTCTAATGGTCATCGAGTGTTGGCGTCGAAAGACGATGAACGAGAAAAGCTCATTTGAGTCCGGTTCAGTCCTATGATGCGAATAGAATGCGGATATATCAGCGAATACCCAAAAGATTACAACATTTCTATCGAGATTGTCAATGATGCTCTGAGTGCTCATCGTGGTGGCCATGACCGTGGCCCTCCCATGGATGCCGGAGGCCCTGCAAAACAATGTGTTAGAGACTGGAGTAGCATTCAGAGGAGAAAAAGGATAAATACAAGAAGCTTAGGTCCGTCCTCACTGATAAGAAGTTAGCATACGACTGCAGATATAGTGTTGGAACTTACCGAGCCCGATATAAAATGAAGAACCACATAGTGGCTCCAAGTGCTTTTGCAAGAAACTGGTATCTGAACCCGGGAAGATGAGGGTTAAAACCTGAAGCTACAGACATAATGTGAGCGCAATAATGAGGAGGAGCTGAACGTCCCGTACGATGACTTCCACCAGCCATAATGAATGTTCCGGGTTGAGGGTAGTATTTGCATTTGTTTGTGAATCACTCATCTAGAAAAGCTCGACACCTATCAACGCCCACACCTCCAAGCCTCGCACTACTATCGCGTCGCTCGTTAATCCTGCTGCAATGGAAGTGAACAGCGGAAAACGAAAGCGAGAAGATGAACAGCTCCCGAGTGTTACTTATCTCGTTGGAGATAGGTCTTTTGATAGACTTTTCAAGGGTACTCCCTCTATAACTAACTATAAGTGGCTTTGTACTCATCGCAGTATATACAGAACAATCTCTCGAAGAAATACAAACTGTAGTACGGCGAAAACTGCAGCTACCGTCAAACTCGACGGTAAAGCTAAAGCAGCTGCGTGGCGACAAGGTTATTGATTTGGATGACGGTAAACGCGCCAGCTCTGTGGTATGGCACCTCTTCTCTGACTCTCATTCTACTCCAGATGATGATTTCGATGCGTTCTCCGCGCGGGCAAGATTGATGAAGTTGGTAGATGTGGCAGTGGAGATCTCAGTAAGCCCAATGGTTCAAGTGGTTGGCTCGTGTTTACCCGTTCAAGCAGGCCCCTCCTGCACAGGGGGACACATCTTCCGACAGCACGGTGGTCGTGTCAAAATCTTCTGAGACGGTCGTAGCGAAGAAGAAACGTAAAGCCAATAGTGACCAGCCTCCTAAGGATGGCAACACGACTGTGGCACCCGAACCAAAGACTAAGAAACGGAAGACAGATCAACCCCCGGTGACTAAGCATATGGAGACTGCGCCAACTTCTATGGAACCTGCGCCAGTCAGTGATCCAGCAGAATTGTCACTGAAGCCCTCTGCGAAGTCCGAAGTCTTGATAAGCACCAAAGCGCCTCTCCCCACTGATGGAGAACCGCCGAAGAAGAAACCAAAAAATGCGAAGGCTGGTACGGCCAAGGATGCTGCAGAGAAGCCACCAAGAAAGACAAAGAAAACGAAGGAGACCGAAAAGCCCACGGAGATCTCGAGCCTGCCAATATCAGGTGATGATGCAGTCCCGGCTTCTGGTCCCTCAGCACCGCCAAAGAAATCATCAGGAACGAAGAAGATTGCCACAAAATCGTCGGCTCTTCAGTCTGGTAAGTACATGTTTCCTTTTCATACTTCTGGATGTTTAAAAATGTATCCTAAAAGCTGGGGTCGAGAAATATGCGAACGGTGCAGTCGACAGCGCAGCTGACTCTGAAAGTACGCAGGAGTTGTATATATTGATTAAACGCGTCTTGATTGACCACCTTCAGAAAAGAAGAAGGGCAAGGTGAAGGGTAAAGAAGTTGAAAGTGAACCAGCTCCTGAGACACCCGGTTCGTCTTCGAGAGTCGTCAGAAGTTCCTTGTCATCAATGATTTTATCATAGCTCCGACAAAAGGCCGCAAGAAAGCTGCAATCGCGGGAGCTTCAGAAGCTCCAGCTCCGAAAGAAAGTGCGTGGTATCATACATTGATCCCGCGCTTTCTAATGTTCTACAGAGAAGACTAAGCAAAGCAAAGCAACAAAAGCCAAGGCTTCTGATGCAGATGGTGCGTAACTCATTCTGACAGCGGTCACCGTCTGACCAATGCTAGATCAATAGCTGGCCCAATTGTCAATCCAATAAATATTCAGGACATTGTGAATTCAATAGCACGTGCCTCGGAGGAGTTGGCTAAACAGAATAATACCAATACTGAGGTGAATTCGGTTAACACTTCCCGGCCGTCCATTTCACTGGCCCCCCCTGTAATTACGACCACGAAAGGTGGTGTGTCATCTATTCCGCTTTGCCATGCTTGCTCTGGTTCCTTTCATCCCCTGTATCAATGCCCAACGGTGTTGGCAGGCCAGGAATCGATACAGAATAGAATTGAGGAATTGAGGAAAGCAGGGGCAAAGAAGTATCAAGTCACTATCAAAGATTTGGAGTCGTTGTTAAAGTCCCCTAGCGCTGCAGTGGCTTCCGCAAAACGCGGCGCTGCAGATACTGCGAAGCCATCACGGACTACGAAAGCAGATAAGGAGTCTCCACCTTCTTGGACGCCCCTTGTGCCAAGTCACTCGCTACTTTCAGAGGTGACTGTGGAGAGCCGCGACGAAGGAAGCAGTTCGGAGGAAGAAGATGAGATTGCTCAGGAACTGGAACAAGAACAAGAGGAGCATGGACCTGACCCTGGTCAGCGTTCGCTCGAAGACGTTGATTTGGACGCTATCATGCGAGGTCCGGGGCCAATCAAGCTTAGTAACTTGATCGATACCTTGGAGTCGAAAGAAGATGAATCAGACACCGAGAACGAAGGCGACGATATCGGGCCTCTGGAAGTGGAAGACGATGGCGAGAATGAGTGGAAATACCGTCGATTATCGCAGCGCTGGGTCAATTCATCTGAAGAGGAAGGGGATGAAGACGACGAGAGCGAGCAGCGCTCAATACCCCCGCCGACACAAAAGGTTTCCGAGCCGTTACCTTCAACTGCCACGCCAAAACCTTCTGCAGGTCCTGATGAGACGTCTAACGCTACATTCCCGGCTGGAAGCAAGAAAGACAATGTGCAAGGAGGTACTTTTCACACGGATGCCACCCGTGTTTCTGTGTCGAAGGTTCAGGATAGCGACAATGACTCGGCCAAAGATGCTGGGGAAGCACCTGTGGCTGCAGACCTGGACAAAGCATCGGATACATCACCTGTCCGCGGTGCTGCGCTCTCTCGTAACAAAGCCGACACTAACGATGACCCGATTGAACCAGCCGATGATCTGATGGAATTCCACCACGTGATATCATCTGATAATGATCCCATCGAAGTTATAACACCGCCAACTCAGAAAACTGCAAGACCACCTTCCCCAGCAGCCCACTCGACTCCAAAGTCCGGCATAGTAAAACGGATGAAGGATCGACACGGGCAACTTCTCAGCCCGTCTCAGTTTCCTGTACGTGCTGATGAATCCAAGGTCAATGGATCCCAGAGAGCAGGCGCTGAGGGGAAGAAGAATACTGCCACTCGGACAGGCAATGATAAACCGTCGATCCGCGGCGGTAAGGCAGCAACACGGACAGATCTCCCTCGCATCTCTTCGCAACCAACGAAAAGGAGCACAAATTTGAACGGCCATGGCGTAACACCGTCACATTCGCAACCTTTACCGAAACCTCCAGCTTCTCTTGCCAAATGGTCTTCCCTTCGTGTACCTTCACCGTCTATTTTGGTGGAAGAACTTGATAGTTCTCCCATTGGACAGGGTGGCAAACTTGCTGGCAAAGCATCTGATCAAAACAGCCCGGGAGAACATTCTGATGATGATTCAGCAGGCAAAGCCGGCGGGTCACTTTTCACGTTGCCGGCGAGCCAAGTACCCTTTCCACACTCGCAGTACAAGGCATCTGTCCAAAAACACATGGAGGTAGTTTCGGACTCGGAATCTGAATCCGAGGCGGAGGCCGGAGGCGAGAAGAGGAAGACGACGAATGCTAAAACGCGCAGATCGATACCACCCTACCGCAGACTGACGGATATTGCAAGTCAAGCAACGCTTTTCTCGCAAAGTAATCCTGTTGCACCTCGTGCGGGCACCATAGTTAATGGTATGGGAGGGCAGGTGGATGATGATGATGACGACGACGATGACGACGATTCGTCATCCGAATCTGATAGCGAGAACCAGTCGCACATCCCACAAGCGAAAAGGGCAGGGAAGCTCCGCTCGAAAAAGGCTAAGGGACTCTTGGCGTCCATGGTTTATTGACGATCTCACTCACGGCCTTCCATAATACTTTTTTCTTCTACATACTTGCGCTGATAGAATCCATTTCTCTTTTGTGTACAGTTAATGAAGCAAACAAGAGTATCCTAGGAAAGCTTGTTATCACCAATTCGCTGTCTTGAGTGAGGAGCGGTGAGAACTAATATCTCGGCCCATGGTCGTGAGAGATAGAATCATCTGACGATGATGAGATACTCGTGGGGTATCTCGAAACCCGCGGTTGAGCTCTCGGCTGCCCTCCAGAGTGTGTCCAGCACCTGCTAACAACACATTGATTCTCTACGTACATATCAGGTCACTGGGCGACTCTAGATTTTCAAATAGGGGTATGACATACAAATTATGTAAGTAAACGATGATCACGCGCTTTTGCGACAAACAATGGCAACAATTCGCCAGGTGACTATATAAACACCGTCGCACTGATCTTTTTTTTCACAGTTCCATCTGACAGTCAGCAATCTTCAGCTGCAAATCCCCTTTTGAGCGCTCAAGCTCGTCTATGATCTTCACCCAGAACACACGCGACGAGTAAGTCTATTGCTTATAAGCTCGATCAATTCTTGCTGACGATTTCGACATTTAGCTACCTCGGCGACCTCGTATTCTCCCTCATCGGATTCTGATCAATAAATCATGTTTGCTCGATCCATCATTCGTTTACCAACAACTCTCTCCCGGGGTTTTGCAACACACACAGGCCCTCTCTCAGCCTTACCAGCAGTCTTGCACCTTAAAACAGGCCAGTCCTTCCATGGTCGTTCATTTGGTTCTCCCAGAAGCATCTTCGGCGAGACCGTCTTCTCAACGTCTATCACTTCTTGTATGTCGAAATATTGATCGTCTAATGCACGGCCTTCTCATCATCTCACCTTTTAGACACCGAGTCTATGACTGACCCTTCTTACCGTGGTCAAATTCTAGTATTCACCACGCCTCTCATTGGCAACTACGGTGTTCCATCCAACAACGCACCAATCGATTCCCAGGACGTCGGTGTGGTCCTGGAGTCTCAAGGCATCCAATGCAGCGCTATTGTAGTAGCTGATGTCGCAGAAAAATTCTCTCATCATTCCGCGGTGGAATCACTAGCATCATGGTGTCGCCGATCCAACATTCCCGCCATCACTGGCGTAGACACACGTGCAGTCACGCGCCTCCTTCGTGATCAAGGAACCACACTCGGTCGCCTTGCCATTGGTCCTGATGCTTGCACTCCTGCACCTGCCTCCGAGCAATATTGGGACCCCGCAGTTGAGAACCTTGTCGACCAGGTGTCGACAAAGTATCCCTACCAGCTCAACCCTACTGGGGACATCAAGATCGCAGTCCTTGACTTCGGTGCCAAGGCCAATATTCTGCGTTCTCTCGTTCGCCGGAACGCTGCAGTCACGGTATTGCCATGGAACTACAATTTCAACAGCATTCGTGACAAGTTTGATGGTCTATTCCTGACCAATGGTCCCGGAAACCCGGGCCAATGCATGGAAGCTGTTTCGATACTTCGCAAGACACTTCAGGAGTGGAACAAGCCCGTGTTTGGAATCTGCATGGGGCACCAGATTATTGGTATGGCTGCCGGCCTTGAGGCATACCGCATGACGTTCGGCAACCGCGGGCACAACCAGCCTGTCCTCGCTCTTGCATCAGCAGGTTCCATTAAGGCCGGGAGGGTTTATGTTACCAGGTATGCATTCTTCAGTTATTATGAGTCATGGATGGTGCTAAATGGCGTCATCAGTCAAAATCATCAATATGCTCTTAAGCTGTCTGACCCCTTCCCGCAAGGCTGGGAACCATTCTTCATCAACTGCAATGACTCTTCTGTAGAGGGCATCAAGTCCACCCCTGAGTCTGGAAAAAAGGTGTGGGGTGTTCAATTCCATCCCGAGAGCGCCGGCGGCCCCCTCGACACAATTGAGGTCTGTTGTTATTAGTCGTCTAGCTCGGCCGTTGCTAATTTATCGTGTAGATGTTCACGGACTTCCTTGATGAATGCCGTATGCATAAAGCAGAGAATGTCAAGACGCCTGTGGCCACTACCATTGATGTTGCCAGCTTCATGGTGGAGCAGCCTGCCCGTGTCCAAGTCACCGCCTGATTGATCACTTTATTTTACCGTTCTCATTATATACGTAACAGATACGGTGTACGATACTTATTTCTGAAGGTGCCGGTGATTGATGGTCTTGTTTTTTTTTGTACTTGTATTTCGTGGAATTCGCGATAGCTTGGCAAATTGTATAATTTGTATTCTGTGATTGAAAATTTGCCTAATCGGGCGTTCATGGATCCGTCGTTGCATGCACGCAACCCGTATTCCTGGATCCAAGAAGTCGACCATGAATTTCCTTGACACTTATGGGCTAACTGGGACGGGTACGAACACGCCGCCCGTGAATGCGCTCCCAGAACAGAGCCTCAACGAAGAGGTTTCTCAGGTCATCGGTCAGCTCGGAAAGTTCTGGGGAGGGTTCAGGAAGCAGGCACGTTCACATACGCTCTATGATTGCGATAATTGAAACTCACGCCAGAGATCTAATAGAGCGAAACTGCGTTCGCAACTGCGCGCAAGGATTTCGGCGAGGTAGTCACACAAGCACAGAAGGAGCTTGGCAAACTCGCTATATCAACCGAAACCCCTGCCGATGATGCCCACGTTAGTGAAGCTGAGGACACCTCCGACAAAGAGAGCGAGAGCGAGTGTGGCACAGCTCCTGAGACGCCCACTGCAGAATCGCACAGCGCGGCAGAAGGCTCACTTTCGATTTCACAATCCCTCTTTGCCCGCCTCCAATCTTCGCTTCCGCCTAATATTGTCTCGAATGTCCAAGCTCAGCTTCCTGAAAGTCTCAAACACCCACAAAGCATCGATTTGTCACAGTTGCGGACGACGCTAACTACCGAATTTCAGCGCGTCCAGGGGGTGACGCGTGCGCAGGCGGAGGAATATGTCCACAAGAGCGAACATCTGCTGCGGGAAGCTATGAAGGAAGCTAGTGAAGCCCTGCGAGACGCGGTGAAGGTAATTCCACCAGAGGAGGGTGAAGGATACTCAAATCAGGGTCTGGTTTGGGATGGATCTGACGTATGGATGCTACCGATGGAAGGAGGGGATGTCAAGGGCAAGGGCAAGGAGACGGATTTGGGCGTTTCGTCGAGGCGGCAAAGTGAAGATGCTCGTCAGGCTGTTGCGACGCGCGCACAAGCGCTGTTGAAGCAGCTGAAGAGTAATCCTGAGATCATCAAGCTTGATCCCGATGCTGATGCGGGGAGGGAGACGTTCCATGTTTGGGTGTCTGAGGCGCAGAGCAAGGATGAACACCCTGGTACTAAATTTTGGTCAGAACGCATCGCAAGGACGCTATCTGATCCAGATGATGGTCAAACGCTGGAAGAGACGTTCAATGCACTAGGTATGTTGACTACTATGATCCTCATTGTCGACGCTTATGGTTGCCTCAGTACCTGCCGTTCTTTCTGACGACGAATTCTGGACACGATACTTCTTCCGCGTATATCAGATCGAACAAGAAGAAATGAGACGCAAGGCTCTTATTCACGGTATATGACTTTTTGTCTTTTGCAACACGACATTTTATTGATTGATACCTTCACAGGAGCACACCAGACCGAAGAAGATTTCAGCTGGGAAGATGACGACGACGAATCCGTTGCTCCTGAATCTAAATCCATCGGAGCTCTCGAGTCGTCGACCCTATCACAACGTACGCTGGCACCGAAAGCGGCAGACACGAGCGATGTCCAATCGCTCCCAAATTCTTCGCAATTCAATACTCCTATGACCATGAGTCCTAGGGAAAGTAGTGAGGACAGTTATGATGTCGTTTCTGGTAACGTCAGTACTGCAGGAGATGCACAGGAGCATGTACACAAGGATGAGGATGATGAAGAGGAGAGCGACTGGGAGTAAGATCTTGTATATAAGTAGTTTGGATCAGCCTATCATATAATACCTCGGAGAGCAGATGTTGAGTACTATTTATACGTTTGACTAAATCAGGCGAACCCTAAAACAGCTCTCTCTCCAAACTAAGTCTGGGTTTTGCCTTCCACTTGCCGATTCCTCAATTGCAAGTGATGCGGAATGAGCTTTATCCATGAAAAGCGTACCAGGTCGCGTCTTCTTTCGCGCAACACCATCATCAACCTCCTTCGCTTCTTCTGGGTCGTTCTTGTTATTTGGTGCGAATTCGGTGTATTTTTTTACAGTTTATCAGATTGCAAGTGGCCAGACAAGGAGTTGAAGGAGGTGAGTTCATCCAACTAAATAGTTCTGTCCTTGTAATGACAGGCTGTCAAGGCTGGGTCAACAGAAAAGCCAACTCGAGTCCTCTTGATTGCTGACCCCCAACTCCCAAACCCGAGGCGTTCAGGGATTTCGTGGCTTCACTACGATGCATCCTCTACTAGATACTTACGAAAAGGCTGGAGCGTCGTCACTCGTCTGCATCCTCACGTAGTTGTATGGCTAGGCGACGTGCTTGCCTCTGGACGCTACGTCACGAATGAAGATGAGTACGTGTCATTATTGCAAACACCTGCTTATATGCGCTAAACGTTCTTGATAGATACAAAAACTACGTAGATGAATTCAAGGGGATATTCGCCACCGACAAATCCGTGCCGAGCTATTTTGTTCCAGGGAATAGAGATGTTGGGTGCGTGCTTGACTCGTGACGTAGTAATTCGGGAATTTGGTGACCCCGGCCTTTGTTTTTCAGTCTCGGAGAATCTTCTGCGTTCTCGAAGAATGCGCGAAAATACTTTACCGAGTACTTTGGTCCTGTGAATCAGGAGATCGATTTGGCTGGCCATAGGCTGATCTTCATCGACGCCCCTGGATTGGTTGATGAGGATTATCGCCGACATGGAAAGGGCAAGCAGTACGAGACTTGGACACCAGCTATGGGCGGTCCAATTGAGTTCATCGCATCCGTTGCCATCAAGGGTGGGTGTTGTCTTGCATTTATGAATGTATGTTGGTTGCTGATGTCGGTATTATTAGCATCATCTAGCCCCATCATCTTATTCAGCCATATCCCATTATCACGACCAGCGAGTACATCGTGCGGGCCACTGCGTGAAGAAGGCTCTATACGCGCTAGTGCAGGTCATGGGTATCAGAACATGCTCGGTAAAGAAACCACTAGATTTGTTCTGCACACGCTTCGTCCAGCAGTGATCTTCAGGTACGTGCATAAAGATGCATCAGCCTCGTATTCCCGTGTTTAAATTACACGCCCCTATACAGCGGCGACAATCGAGATTATTGCAATATGACCCACCGACTTTCTGCATCAGATGCCAATATACTAGCAAAGACCACCGCCCGGGAAGTGACTGTGAAATCATTTTCCCCATCCAAGCACATCCGACGCCCGGGCTTCCAGCTCCTCTCTCTCATCCCACCAGACTCTGCGGTATCGCACCATGGTTCTACGTTCGCAGATGCGCATTGTCTTCTGCCCGATACCTTCCGCATATTCAATTCGATATACCTACCCGCTCTCGTACTCACCGCCATCGTGCTCCTATACCTCAATATCTCACCCGGCCGTCATCGTCGCCGTTTCTCTACTCTCTCGCCTATCTCTGCAAGTAGGAGTAGACCAAGTTCCCCATCGCAAGGCCCAGAATCTGCAATCTGGGCTAACTGGTCCCCGCGGAAGTCAAGTGGTCCGACGAGTCCGGCGGTGGCACCTCCGCCCTCAGTTACAGTGCGTGTTCCTAATGCAAAAGAGATATTTACATTCCGTGCCTTGTCGCCATCAGCCTCTGGATCACCGCTTGATTCTCCGCTCCTGAGTCCTATCCCGCTTTTCCACGCCGGGCACGAGGACGAAATGAACCCCGCACATTATCCTTCACAGCATCACAGCGACCATGTCTGGCCTTCGGGTGAGGACGTTCACGAAGCGCCATCGTTCATTCCCTCACCGAGCGCACGTCGATCAGAGAGGAAATGGCCATCGCGGAGCTGGAGCTTCGTATTCAGAGGGAGGCGGCGACGGATAACGCTTGCGCTGCCGACGTGGGGGGAGATGAAAAAGTTTTGTGCGTCTGACAGCAGCGACAGTATGTACAGAGGTAAGCGGAGGGGCATGTTGTGGAGGTTGGGAGGCGACAGCATGAGTGTTGCACTGCCTGCTGTTGTTACGTGGGCTTTGATTGGCTGGCTGTTCTTTTGAGACAGTGATGTTTGCGATTGATGTTAGACTATCTACTTGCATGGATTTCGACCCGTATAATGATTGACGTAGTGCACAATGTATCACAGTACTTACTCGGCGCGGACGTTTTGACATGATTATGGTGAATTTTGGACCACGTCAACATTGTATACTACAAGCGGGACTGGATAGTGATGTCGAAATATCTATAACAAGCACTGAATCGTGCTGGTATACTAATACAACCAAGTCACCATGTAACCCGCAACTCCTAACACTGTAAATAAAGTAAGCCGTTTGTCGATCCTAAAGCGAAACAGGACGTACGATATCCAGTAAACTTTTCAAATGGTGTGTGGAAGTACACGCTGGTGGTGGAGATGGCGAAGAACCAGATTGCGATGAGCACGGTATTGAACACGACTGCACAAGCATGCGGAAGCGACCATTTCCTCGCGCACAAAGACAGCCTTATCTGGTCCACCAAAAATAGGACGGACATAGTGAGGAGGAAGACGTGGCCTGACACATCATGTCCCTTCCTCAGGCGAGGGACCACCGGCCACCTATCATCCGACGCCCAAACCGACGACCCAACAAACAAGAACGGGTGCGTCTCTTGTGATATGGCTGTCCGCGTGAGACAGAATTCATACGGGACGGTGAACACGACACCCGATTGAAGGGTGGCCGTGCACTCGCCCCCCGAAGCTGCTGTGAGCCTTTCGAGTAGGGCGGGTCCGAAGAACCAGCTTGTGAACACGAGCCATATGGCTGTTTCTACGCCCCACTTGACTACTCTGTGTACTGTCCGCTTGTGGGGTGGGCTGGTGAGCCAGAGCGTGAGGAAGGCCGCGGAAGTCCAACCCCATGCGCGTTTGATGAAGTATGAGTTTAGGATGTTGGCTTTATTGGCGAAGTAGTGCGTTGCATGTAGGTGGTGAGGGAGATGTGTGAGGGCGGGATCGGAGGTGTCGAGATAAGTGTCGTATGCGACTGAGTAGAGTGTTCCGAAAAGGAGGATCGCTGTGATTCCCCCGAATGCTGCATAACGCACATCAACTGACATTTCGTGGAATGGTATTGCAAGATCTGGGTCTAGTAGGCTGAAGAGGATAAAAAGATCGTGCACAGTGAACGTGGTGGCATTAATTTATAACTGCAGCATGCACGTAAGTACTTCGGCTGAAGGGACCAAAAAAAAGCAATGCACGTGCTCACTAGCTAGTACGACGCGCGCGCAGTATTGTGTTTCAGGAGAATATACCAGAACGGAGTAGAACAATATTCAAGATGACTACCAAGTACTAACATGGGCCTTAGTACATAATACAATATTAAAACCAATTCATTCGCAGACCGGGGCAAGTCTAAGGGTCTTGGGCTCGCCGTGACAACGGGGATCTCATAGCGGTGGATACGAAATTCTTGTGACCCATTTCTGCTGTGATCATGTATGGGAGACAATGAATGATGTTCCTTCAGCTTTATTCTGTCGCTAGCATCAGTAAACCGGTGAGTTCTTGCTGGGGATTATGCTGATTATGGTGCCTTTACATAGTCATATATTGCTTTATATTCCAATGTGACGAAAACCTTTCCTATATATTACGATATATAACGATATATGACGATATCTTCTTCTCACAGGTTCTCTGATGCGCCACTACTCATTAGATTTTGTAGCAACCTTCCGAGCTGAAGGTGACCTTCCGGGGACCGGCGTAGTGGTCACGAAAGAGCCTTGCCAGTTCCGTCGTGTCTATATGTTTGAATTCTGGATTGTTCATCCGTTCATTCTGGGACTCCGTTAGGTTCTTCTAAATCTTTTGCCGTGAAGTTCTGCCATAACTGATCTGCCAAACCAACTTACAAGTTTTGCTCATTCAGGATATAAAAGCAAGCACTGTCCACAGTAATTCAGAGTCCCTCTCGCTCGCAAAGCTTTTATCACTTCGCATAAATCATGCATTTGTCCTTCGTCGTCGTCGTCGTCGTCACCAGCGCTTTGGCGGCGTGTATGACTGTCACTGCATCATGCATTCCCCAATTTGGGGCCTGCTCTACGGACAGTAATTGCTGTTCTGGCTTTCACTGTAATTTAGGGGTGAGTATGAGTAGTTTGCTTTGCTTTGCATCCATGATTCAACCCCATTGCTCACCCCATGCACCTTGCAATGTTAATAGCCTCTCGGTTACAAGCTTTGCAATTAGGCTGCTCACCGACGGGCTGGCAGTCTGTTCATGAGCACATCTGGAGAGTGAGTCGTGTTTCCGCTTGCTGATTGGTGTTGTGGCTGATGGGACAATAGGTAGTTCGTTGCTGACTTGGTCAATGTGGTTGTTGTTCCTGGAGTACGCCCTGCTTCATGGGCAATAACGCACTTTTGAATTAACTTGAACACTCGCATTCAACATCGTATCTCGGACTCACCTGGTGTTGTTCACCGTTTTCACTGACGTCAGAATTCTTGAGATCGGCGGTTGAACATATGTTCAGTCTATTTCAAGTTGCATTTAGCTCGGAAGTTTTTGTAAGAACTTTCAACTTTAAGTGCTTTCGAAGTGCCAGTGACTGCCACCTTCTGCCAATTGCGGGGAATCAGGATAACATTTGCTGGTAAAAAGCATTACTTCGGCTGAAGGGACCAAAAAAAAGCAATGCACATGCTCACTAGCTAGCACGACGCGCGCGCAGTAAACCCGACACATGTACACAAAAGCCAGCAGGAGTCACTGCGAGCTATTGAATTTCAGCATACGATATAACACAACCTGTAATTGTCCATACAATTGCAAAGCATAAATGAAACTAATTCACAGCCTCCGTTCTTCCACAAAAATGCAGCTACAATATTTCTATCATCTTGACGTCCATCATGTCATGAACAGCAGTCGTGCTCTTGATTTTTGCGGTGATACTACGATCCGACGCGATTCTCTTGTACTCCGAACCACGCTGCTGCGCAAGCAAAAGTGCATTAAAAGGCTGTCCAAGGCGAACGATCAACCTCAAGGCTCGTGAACGGGAGTCCAAGTCATCCTGCTCCTGTTCTTTCACGCTCTGTGCACCGTTTGCAAAGTCGGGCAGCCCGAAATCATGACGATTCCACGGACAGACCAGCAAGAATGCCTGCGGAGTGGGCCGTGCAGGTGAGAATTGAACCAGCTCGTCTCCTGTGACTATTGATAGGTCTTGCAGCCCGTCTGCTTTGACTCTGTATGTGAATGATGTTGCCTGGTCTTCATCGCGCTTCTTTTTGACTTCTGTGATAGCAAATGTAATGCAAGGCAGATGTAGTCTGGAGTTCGCGAAACGCGGCGCACTGAGGCTGTCAAAAAGGGTATACAGTTTCAAAGCTGACTCCACAGCCACAATCTTTTGCAGCCTGGAGACAGAATTTTGCACCTCATTTGCAGATAGAGACGGTCGCGTGTATGGTGGAGTGGTATACGAGGCGATTTCAGCTGGGAGACAGCTATTGAACTTGGATGGTTTTCCAACCCAGTCCAGGACAGTAATGTCGCCCGACTGAGCGACAATCTCTTGCAAGAGCCGACCGATCGCGCATTCCTTCGTCTCGCCGTAGAGTACAGGCAGTTGGACACCAACAATGCCAAACAATGAGTATGCAATGTCTTCCGGCAGCGAAGTGACACGGCGTGACACCCATCGAAATTTCTCTCGAGCACCTTTCATCCCTGGATTAAAGGTGCCGAGTGCGAGCGCCTTTATGCCTGTTGAACGCTCCAACTCGTTCATGATAGTGGGTGACTCCTTGTGGTTGGGAGAGCGGTCATTGAGATACAAGTCCCAATCTTTGTGGTAGAAGAGAATGATGTTAGGAGCCAGGAACTCCTGAACAGTCCATCCTCGTTTGGTCCAAACACTGTTTGCCAGTGCGCCCGACTTTACGGCAGGCGAGACATCCGACAAGTAAACCATCGTAAGAGTTGAGTGGCGATACCAGACAAACATGGAGTTGACTGATCGTTGAACCTCAGCAGTGTTCTTCTGGTCGATACAACATGTATCACTCCATGCCCAACGATACCCCATGCCACGAGCCTTCTTGCAGAACATTTGCAGCTTCTCTATGCCGGCAACTCCCTTCAACTCGTACACAACCTTGCCTTGGATGTCGTGCAGCATGGGCTCCTCTTTATCCCACCTATGTGATAACATAACCCAACTGAAGTACTTCGCGACCGCCTTCTTGATGGGCTTCGTTTGGAGGGGCATATGCGTCATTGATGAATACAGAAGCTCGCTGTACTCTTTGCTTTGCATGAAGTCATTCCTCTGTGCATCTTCATTGCACAAACACCCAGTGGACACGTTAAGTAGACGAAGCGGCGCCTTTTCCAGATGAGTATCAATAGCCCCTTTGATAGCTTGCTCTGCTTCAGTATACTGCTGACGCAGCGCTGGAGAAAGAGTTAGTTGAACGAATGGTAGTGCAAGAGTTACTCAAGACTTGCCTCGCATCTGGGAGTCAGGAGCATTTTTGAGGTTCAACTTGGAGACATCAGGAAAAACACCAAATCCTCATAGTCATAGTGGCAGCTATATAGCGCTACATAGGCGGTGTAGTACTATGTAGACATCCAGGCTACTATATAGTACTACATAGCTGGTGTAGCTGAAACCAGGACTATGTAGAGCTTCAGGTGATGGTAGTAGCAATCTGTAGTCATTGTAGCACAGTAGCAGCAGTAGCTAGTTCTAGTCACTACGAGTGGAAATACAAAATGTTTCAAGGTCAATAAAAGTATTAAAATAAAAATCATGTGCCGTCTCATAGACGTTTGCGCTCGTCCACCCAGGGTCAACAGATGGTCCCATTTTTGGAATGAGGTGACATGGATGAACCATTTCGTCAAGATGGATCACAACTGCATTCCGATGCAGCTGACGAGTCGAACATGACACTTGACGCAGGCCAGAGGAGGGATCTGGCTCCCGAAGCGGCGTGAACCACTCGACGTAAGCTAGCGCTCGGGAGTTCGTTCCAACTAGAAACTGACGAGGGAGGGTAAAGATGATACAAACTTGTGCAACTCGCACACCTAGTACAGTATCCATTTCAGTCAGTGTGACATTGAAGCGTTGAATAGTAACCAATGCTTACCTTCGAGTGTCTGCAAATTCGTCGTTCGAGCACCATCACTTATCAGCGCCATATCGAATCTAGCGGGGGACCAAGGTTTTCGGCTGGCAGGACCAGGCTGCACTTCAGGTGTCGCTCTAATGCGCCACTGCTTTGGTGAGTCACTGGTGCGTGGATCAGGCGGGGTAACTATGATGACTTGTCGATAAACATCAAACCGGTCATGTGGACCGGGGATGATGTTATTGTGTGGCATGTGCTCGTGCATGAAAGATTTGAGGGCGGGGAGAAACATGGTGGCGCCATGTGCAGTGATGAGGCGATCAACAGACTGCCGAGGGTGTGGAGGATGCTTGGCGAGAATACAGACCACATCAGTGGGGGATGACACAGTGGGGGATGACGGAATGGCGTTTGTGGGGGCAGCAAACTCTTCAATCTCGGCGTCCAAGTCTGAATCCAAGTCATTTCTGCGGTTGGGATCTGTCACCTGTTCATGGCAGGGTGATACTTAACCATATCTAATTACACACAGTACCTTTTGTAAGTTCGTCTCTGAGCTACCAACGTGAAGCTTCATGAAGCTTCACGTCCTCAACAGCACATCCCCCATGTCACTCGAATGATACCAGGCACGATGCCTCAGTGGTTCCAAAGATCGGGATCTCTCTTGTGATCTCGATGCTACTGGAAATGTTGGTATTTTTAGGACCGGAGTGCGTCACCAATGAATTTGATTGCTTCGTCAGAACATTGTAAATAGATCACTGTGTAAATTAAAAAATGCCATTCACGGCACCCCACTTTGAGAGGAATGTATCATGGAGATCCCGCCGCACGGCTGCCTGACGCTTTGCATATCCTCTGATACCTTCAACCTCTGCAAGCGCGAGCCCTGTGCGACGATCTGCTTGCGCATCCCACCACGCAGCATGCCACAAGAGGTATGCCGCGACACGCCTCATCTCCTCTCGAAGAAGTTGCACCTCCTCGACCCAACGCGTAGCTCGTGCGCGAGACTTGCACCATTCAATTCTTAATGCTAGTAATAATTCGGTATCAGCAATTGTAAAATAATAAAAGAAAACATAACCTACATTCGTTGAGGACCGTCTCCCCTTCAGGAGCGTCACTAGCGATGCCACGTGCCTTCCATATCCAGGACAATGTACGGTTGCCAGACGATTGGCCTGGCTTGCCTTGAGACATGCCGCGGATGTCGTCATTCTCCAGTTTCGGGAACTCCTCCTTCCATGTAGTGCGAGACAGAGCAAAGGAGAGATGTTCGAGTGCAGACCATGCTCTGCGATATCTTGCAGCAGCGACGGACACATTCGACTCGACTTTGTCAATGATAGCTGACGCGCGTGTGTTAGCCCGCTGGCCACGAATATGGGCGTCTTTGAATTTGTAAAGATGGGCGCGTAGTCGCAGGTGACGTCGGAGCTCATCCAGCGCATCATATGCCTGGGCCCTGCGAAGCTCCCATTCATACTGACACAGCGTGGCATCACATTGATGCACTGGGTCTGCTGCATCTCCGTAGATCTTGGAGGGAAGCCACAGTTCGATCTCGTGAACCTTCTCCTCAGTCGAATGGGTCCTGCTGGTTGGAATATCTGATGCGCGAAGGCGAGCAACGACCGGCATGTACAAAAGTTGGACCTTGCTCCATTGTTCTATTTTGCGTCGTAAAATGTTGCTCCGTTCTTGAAGCTTCGTGCGCTGTAAGTCCGTTGGGTGCCCTCCCAGAAGCTCGATATCTCTCGCAAGCCGACACCTGCAAAATAGCCTCAGCATGTATATGAAACTTCGACAATTGAAGACTTACTGCTGATCCTCGATCTCCATTCCTGAGGAGATTAACACACTGCGCGAGACTTCCTCGTGCAGTGAGTCATCCATACCATGCTCGAGGTTGTCAGCTTCTTGCTGAGAGAGACTGAGTCGTACAGCTGCTTGCGTTAGTGCTAGACGATAGTGAGTATTTCGAATTCCTCGGACAATCTAGTGACATACGTTTGCCTGTAAGTGCGAACGGATTCTCTTGCGACGAATCTGATTCCCATTTTTCCACTGCCAGCCTCCATTCCGCCACCTGTTCGGGTCTCTCGTGTTGAAGTGCGTTGTCGAAGTCTTCAAAATCGCGTACATGCTGGTCGCGTTCAGGAACAGCGGCTTTGAGCTTTCGTGATAGACTGACACCTAAATAACGAGTCAGATGTAGTTAACTAAGACATATTGAATGATACTTACCCATATTCGTGACCTTCTTCCAATTAAAATCACCGAAGTGGTCGTCCAGAGTATCGCGGCGTGATCCTGGACCCATCTCGCGAGTGCTCGTAGCAACCGGATTGATGTTGGCCCATCCACGCTCAGGTGCCTCTCCATCTGTCCGGCCCATGCCTTTGAGGAGGTTGTGAGAGTAAGTTATCTGGCAAATATCGATGTGCGCAGGAAGATGGAATTTTGGCACAAGAAACGTGATGGTCTTGTTGTCGTGGTGGCGGAGATGAATCGTCGATGGGTATCGATGCATGCGCTGCCAAAGATTCGTGCTCCATTGACAAGCGATGTCATAAGATATGTTGAGGACCGCAATATCCCCCGTGTATTGCATGGTCGAAAAGAAGAGATAATCCATGTTCACGTACCTATAAAAAAGCAAGCATCAGTAACAGAGTTAAATCAGGCATGTCATTGACGTACTTTTCTCCTTTTTGCAAGTCACCGACACCACAGGGTCGTTTGAAATTGTGTCGCGAGCAGTCAACGGTTCCTGCTCCAGTGGCTGCCAGGCCCCGAGAGTTTTTCGTTTCTGCTAAATTGACTGCGTTATGGCTTGCGCATGTGCTTTTCTAAGTTGCTGTCAGACATGATTCGAGTTTGAAATTGAATGACCTTACCTCCTGCGGACATCTCCCGACATCAGTAAGAAATGTCTTGTATTGTCGTTCCTCCACGAAGTACGCCCAGCCACGGTTGAGCCCAGGGTCCATTTGATCTGATGAAACATTCTTGCGTGCCAGACGGAAGTTCGCGTCAATCGCGAGAAACAAGGCATATAACCAGCTGGATAAAGTTGATCAGCGCAATTCTAATGATACAGGTTGAAGCACATACCGAGTTTCGGGAGGGGCACTCTCCCAGTTCTCAGGAAGATTCTTACCTGGCTGAGGACAAGCCGGACACAAGACGGCGCATGAACCTTGCTCTGTTGCTCCAGTACCCGCGGGATCGTGTCCCCGTCCAAAGCGTTTGAGTAAAGTAATGTTTCGCCATTCCCTTATCATTCGAAGTAGAGCATCATAACGATCCTATCATTGAGTGTCAGATAATTACAAAACCGCTAATAAGAGTTAACTTACTTTCACAACGACCACCCCTCTATTGTGAGTAAGACGCGTTAAGGTCTGCCAATATTCGAACGTTGAGACCTTAGATTCGAACGAGAGAATGTGAAAATGCCGAAGAAGCTTGAATGTTGCTGCGGTTTTCGGCTCTAGGACTGTTGCAGGGAACCATCGAATGCGAAGCAGCTGGGTGGTGGGACTTTGAGCGGTCTCGCACCCGCAGAAGTCTAAAGCGACTTCATGAACACCATTCACATGGAGTACAATGAAATCTTGGCAAGCAGCGGGGTTGTAGCAGCGCTCTTGGGTGGGGTGTCCCAGTTGAATTCGCAGTCCGAGAGATTTGAGTGTGACAGCGTGAAAAAACTCGTCCTTCCAATGCTAAGAGATGTTCAATGATAGTTCTTTTGAAAATGTTCAAGCGGCTTACCTTAATCCTGTGCAATGGATGCTCACGGTGCTTCTCCAAGGTGCATGGCTGACAGTATAGCTCGGTGCCAAAACAATCCTCGCAACGAAATTCAGCAGGCAAAGAGCAGCCATACGATCCATGGCAAATGGCTTGAGTTATGAAGTCTCCGCGTCCTTCCAATCTTAACATCTCCAGGATAAATGTGTCTCGTTCGGGAAGCCATGATGCGAGTGGATAATCCTGCACAAAATTAATTTACAAATACAAATATTCAGAGCGCTTGTGCTTACCCCTGCAGTGCGTTTTCGCTTTCTAACTTGCTCGGTGTTGGTATCTTCTAAGTAGGTGTCATGCGCACCATCCACGATGTTGAAATCAAAGTCATCGAAAGATTGAGGATCATACACGGGTAAAACTTGAGCTTGATGTTCCGTGCTTACGGATGCTAAGCCTTCAAAATATTCGACTCGTGCAGATAGTCTACTGCAAGTCGTATCCTGGGTCTGAGTGAATGAAGTGTGTTTGTGCCGGTGGGTTGACGTCTGAGAAGCTTCCTCTCTCTGTGTCGCGGGTGCCAAGGCAAGTTGACGAGCCTCTTCAAGTTCTTGATTGTAAACATAAAATTTATCCCGCACTTCTTTGTTGTATTGTCGTCGACGTTTGCTAACCATGGTCGTTGGAATGTGGTGGGTAGATGTATTGCTGGTAAACACGAGGCAAATGCAAGCCGTACACTAGTACATCCGTGTGAACGTGACTCAAACGCGGAGGTTTTTCTGATACATTAACTCCCCTAACGAGTGAGCAACGCAAAGTTCAGAAACTCCCTCCCAGTGAATCAAATAATCAATTTCTTCAAGATATGCAGCCGTGGTGCTGAGAAATCGAGACATTGAGTTAGCTGTACGAAACTCGTCTGAGATTGGGCCACAAAAATTAAGGAGTTGATCTTGCACGCGAATTGAGCGATTTAGAATATCTTGAACCTTGAGCATTGTGTTTGAGATAATGGTGATGTCACCATTATCACCACGGTCGTCCGTGTATTTGATGCTTTTGACGTAGTGAAGGAGGTTGTCCTCGACAAATTTCTGGGGTTCACGATCATCGGTCAATGACAACATCTCGTCCTTGATCTCTTTGAGAGCAAGGAGGCACCCTGGGAGATCTGATCTGTTGAATGTTAATTTTATGTTCGCCATATCAGTTTCTATTTATAAAACATACGGTGTGTCATTCTCATCATCGCTAGATTCATCAGTCTCCAGCTCAGTGTCACTCTCATCTTCATCCGAGTCGTCATGGCTTTTCAAGGCTCTCGCAACTGCCTTCTCAAACTGTCGGGTCTCCCGCGTTGGTTTATTTTTTTCAACACGAAGTTCTCGTCGTCTTTTGAGGATACTCTCTCTGTTTCTTCAATTGGTTGCCTAGTCAGGAACATTGCACCGCAGACAATTAATTAAACAAACGTACTTCGCATAGTGGCGCTGGGACTTTTCACGAGCGGCTTGTAGTTTAGCCTGATTTGTTTTATGTATAGGAGGACGTGGCATGGCGTAGTAGTTGGTTGAAAAAGAAGTGCAAAGGTTCTGGTCAGACCATAACTCAATTGAACCAAAGCTAAAGCTACTTGCGCAATGGTCAGACCAAAACTACTTGCAACTTAACACAATTCTCGCAATACATCTAAGCTTTAATGAGGGTCTTATTCTCTACAAACATTATGAGTATACACAGTCAAAGCTACCATGCACCTGGATCAATTGATACTATCATCATTAATATGGTACCGCACCAATGCTTTTTGGTCTGACCAAAACCCGTGCTTAATTGATAAGGTACTACACCAATGCTTTGTGACCAGACCGAAAACCCGCGTGCTCAAGATATGATGTGTTTTAATGAATTTATGTTCATTGCTCAAGCGCTCAAGTTCAAGCTTAACACGGTGTACATAAGTGAACATGTATGTACGAGATACTCCATTAAACTCTCCCTACGTGAATTTTCGTTGCTGCAATGTTAAAACCTGATGTGATCAAGATCTCCGCGTCAGTTTCAATTATGTCATACTGAATAAACACGTACAGTGTCCATTTCACTGTTGTCGTTTATCGTTTGCCGTAGTGTTTGTTGTGAGTGACATAGACTCAGTGGCCCGGGAGGATGATGCGTGACATGCGGAAATATGTGCGCGGCAGACGTAACAAGTTTGACGGTGAGTACGGAAAATGCAAGCAGGGCAGCCCTGCAAACTAGGCGATGGTAAAGGTGCATCGGCAAGCGAGTAGCCATCGTGAGCTTTTGTCATTACTTGGTGTCATGGGTCAATACATAATGCAGGTCTAGTAGGTAATTACATACCATCTTGGTCGTGAATCAGTTTAAGCGCGGACGCAAGCTCGCTCATAGCGAATACTGGCCCATAATATTCAGTCTCAGATGAGCCGGCGGATTCTTGGACTGTGAATTTCGAGTACGTGAGCTGGCAGGTTTCTGTGTGCGTAACATACCTTGGTCGCGAATTAATTGTAATGCTGCTGTGAGCTCGTTCGTGGTAAATACTGGCCCAAAGTACCCATTTTCAGGTACGTTGTATGAGGCGGCAGTGTCAGGGTTTGTCATTTGGAGCACGCGGGAGTGAAAATGTCAACCGAGGATGATTATAGAATGATTATATGAGCATAATTTTAGCTCCGATGCATTGTGATTGGACAACGGACTGACCTCGTGTGATTTTGAACTTTAATTTCGGGTTGGCGGGCGCAAACTCGACAACTTGGGACACCCGCGACTGTCAAAAAGGCCGAGGTAAGCCATGACATACATTTCATAAATTAAATTAAGATCATACTGATCCGGCAGGGGCAGATGCCGCCTGCAGAATGGACAACACCAGAACAGAAAGCTTTCCTTGAGTCGAAGTACAACGATTTTTTGAAGGCACAAGTCGGGGCGTCTGTCACGCAATTCTGGGGCCCTGTGTTCTCAGAGTGGTTCAGAAGGTTTCCGGAGGAACTTGCGATTTTTGGCGAAGCGCCGGGAGTCTTGTCAGAAGAGCAAAAGGAGGCGAAAGGTACAGCTGTTGATCTCAGGCAAAAGGTGAGTTTATCATTTCATGAGAACCAATTAGACCCGCTTACCATTTCATAAGAAAATCAAGAATTGGTTTAATTACCGTTCTCAGAAAAGCGGCCGCACTGCTGTAAACGCAATGGGTAAAACAATCCGACAGATACTTACCAGCAAAGCCAAGGGCACCCGCGTCCACACCGAGGCTGAAGTTTTCTCGAAAATGAGGTATGCAGATGATATTCAGCAGCAAGTGAAGGAGAGCATCGCTTCAAACGGCCTTACCAAGAGGGAAAAGTTGGGAGCTGTGAAATTGATGACACGCACAGCTTATGAGGACGCGAGTGAGGATGTGAAGGCCTTGTGTAGGGCAAAGGTTCAGGCGGAACGGGATGCCAAGGCATCGGAAGTCCTCAAGAAGCCAGATGGGGCCCCTACCAATGCTCAATATGCTATGTATGAACCATTCTACAACACTCACGCTTTAAGTTGCTCAATGGGTGATTTTACAGGGCACTTACTGAGTGTATGGGTCCGATTTCACAATTCATGCAAGTCATCAAAGACATGACGGGTTGGGAATGGAGTCTGATCGGCGCTGGACCAGACCCGCGTTTGGACGGCAATATTAATGCTATGAGGTAGATAAGATGTTGTTGTTGATTTATGAGCGCGGGAATCTCACAGGCACTGCAGTTACCATTCAGGTGTGAATGCAACTGGTCTCAATTGGAAACAAGCGACACCGCAATTCAACGAGACACACTTGAAGGCGTATGTCGACTTCATTGGCACAATTTTTCGTAAGTGCTTCCCATACTACTAGCAAAGACTCAATGTTCAATGTTTGCAACTTCAAATATAGCACCGCACATCAGGAAGACACGTGCAATCAACTATGATGCTTCAGCATCTAGTAGTACGCCATCCACGCCATCCGCTTCCCAGCCACTTGATTCTGGCTGCTCTCAGCCAGATGCACTTACCATAACACCTCCGGCTACAACATCTGTTCAATCACCGCCTCTGGTTTTATCTGCACCCCCTGCTTCCACTGAGCTCTACAACCTCCAACATGACCCATCCGTCTCCTTCCCCAATGTCGGTCTGCAGTCATCCAACGGATACGGCCTCCAAGACGTCTCATTCACAAAAGATCCCACAGAATCATTTGACGCGCCGAATTGGGAAAATCCGCCGCCTCTTCTCCGCCCCTTACTTGACGGATCTCCAAGCATGCCCAATGGATCTACAAGCACTTCCACCTGGGGGACGCCACCTGCACTGCGATCATTCCTGTCTTCAACAAACTCTTTCCCCCCTGCGCTACAGTTGTCCCCAATCACACCACGTTCGTTTACACAATCGGCAGCATCGCACTCGCTACCTTCTTTGCCACCTATAGCAACCCCACAATTCACGTTCCCGTCACTCCCTTCGCACTCGCTACCTTCCTTGCCACCTATAGCAATCCCACAATTCATGTTCCCGTCACTCCCTTCCCACTCCCTTCCACGTCACTCCCCAGTTCTCCCTTCACAGGTTCTCCCTTCACCGGTTGTCGCTGCCCCGGCTGTCGCTGCCCCAGTTCTCGCTTCTTCGGTTCTCCCTGCCCCGTCACTCCCTTCTTTGGTTCTCCCTGCCCCGTCACTCCCTTCTTTGGTTCTCCCTGCCCCGTCACTCCCTGCCCCGGTTCTCCATTCCCCGTCACTCCCTGCCCCAGTTCTCCCTTCCATACCTCCTGCGTCTCCTGCGGCGGAGACTCCACAAAACGGAGAAGTGCTACATAGCGCACCAGAGAAAACACTCAAGGTAAAACGAAAGCGTGCGTCAAAGGCTGTCGACACAGGCATGCAGGTTATCGAGTCTGCTGATCCGAATACACTGCGAAAGACTGGTCGTATTCGGCAGGAGTCCACCCGTATGGCGCAGGCGAACCAAATTGGCCAAATCAACAAGCGAGCGAGAACTCGGAGATAGGACTTTTAAAGTGAGTCCACGCTTGCTCAATGCATTGAATCGTTTACTGACATATCTCTCGCACCATTTTCAGTACCTTCTGTTTGATATCATAATGATATCATAATTGTGACTTATTGTGTTCTGGTCCCTCGTTTTTCGTATACATGTCGTCGTATAATAGTGGTAGTACATATGTTAAATTTTTCTTGCCCTTGATCATTAATGACATACGAAATTCAACGCCGTACTCGAAAATTCCAAACTGACCTAGGAGATATCTTTTTGAGGTTGAACATTGAGCATTGATCCAGACTTCAATGAATTATGCAAGTGTACATTCCCTCTCGCTACTACACAAATCAAAGGAGACGCAGGCTATACTGTTAATATTAAGCATAATACTATCTAGTGAGAATGGCCGACTCGCAAATGACTTAGTGAAATTTCGACCGCAAGATCCTGACCCGATTTTAGGAACCACCAGAACCACGATCTGAATGCATAGATCTGCTGGCTACAGGAACAAATCAAAGGAACCCCAGGAATTGGTATTTCGTCCTAGATTGGTCAAAAATCGCCAGAACGAGTGTCTGGAGCGTTAAGCATCGTGTGAATGCATTAAGCATCACCATTGGCACTGAAGCCCTAAGAGACAAACTTACAAAACCATACTGTTTCTAACTAGATAGTATTATGCTTAATATTAACAGTATAGCCTGGATCTGTGTGACTGGACGCTGTGGCTGACTGAGATCGTTCCGACAACCAATCAAAGTAAGAACTACGTAGGAATACGGCTTCCTGCCGTTGAAGCCATAAGGCCATTTGCTCCTCGTAGTCGCGTTTGTTGCTGGCACGATAGGCGTATTTTGCGAAATCAATGTGTAGTCGTTCTGGAAGCTCAGTGTTGAAACCGTCGGTGGAACCAAATAGAGTGATGGACTCAACAAAGTGTGAGATTTGATGTAATTTAGGAATGTTGAAGTGTTCGCGAACTTCAAGCTCTTGCAGGATGTCTTTGTTGGCGTGAAACACCGCAAGCGCACTCTCCAGACCATCGAGGGATTCAGCAGTGTGCATTCGAAGCTGTGCGTAATATGAAAAGTCTAGAATGGCTCGTGCAACCACTAAGACTCGACTAGCATTAATTGTGTCAGTACAGCCTTTGTTGAGCACGGCTTACTAATGCTTACCTTGGGACAGCACCAGCGAGCAGACCAACAAAGACACGCTGCATTTCTTTATGCTCTGTACCCGTCCACTGTCTCACAGTCGAGATACCCTTCTTGAAGTGCTGAAGTCCAGGGTAATCTGGCATTGCTTTGAAGCGTGAGTCCATTTCATCTTCACTGACAATCTCAAGACACCATTTAACTAGGTGGTCTTTGAAGACACCTTTATGGACCTGGTGGAGGAGGTCAGGCGTGAAGGCAAGAAAGATGTCGGCGTGAGGGAGATTTGCCCAGAATGGGTTGAGGATGGCGCGTAACCCGTTGTAGGAACAACAATACCGATTGGAGCTATATGAAGATGGCTCCAAACTGATATATTTGTGTTGTGGTCTTTGCACTGCCTAGTCTGCTATACTTGCCTGACAAGTGCGTTCGACCCAGGGGTCTGCGGTCTGGGAATAGTCTTGGGGGTAAGTGAGTGATGTGGGGTCAATAGTCCGAGCACGGGAAACAATATCCAAAGGTATAATTACGATGTCCGATGCAAAAGCGTCGGGTCCGATGTTTTCGGGGTTTCGGGTTATCGGGTTCGGGTTCGGGGTGTCGGAAACTAATAGTAACGCTATAGTGAGCGTCGGAAGAGCGAGCGGTGTGCGCAATAATAACAATGACTGATACGGGCGGTGAAGGAACGATGATATTCGCAATGTCAACTAAGAACTACGAAATATCGGGTTTGACCACTAAGCGTCGGGGAACTGCTCCCCTCTACTTGGATAATGGTAATGCTATGGGGAGTCCAATATTTATGTAGATACATAGAAATGCGGAACCCATAGGCGAAGGTAGTGGCCAATGATTTCGGATCCGAAGTACATGTAAATAAACATGAGGCGCTGCGGACTATGGGAAAACATGTGATAGTGCTTGCTACGACGTGAGTAATGTGTGAAATAATGAACTACACACCTAGTGGGGCTAGCAAGACAGGACGGGACACGGATAGGACAAGTGCGCGGGAAAACATCGGGTTGGCGGGTTAGCGTCGGATAACATCGGGAAGTGATTTAGCATGTGATGGGTATTTGACGTATACTGTAAAATAGCTCGATACAAGCCCAGCACCAGCTCGTGTCCTACACCATTGTCGTCGAATTGAATTGGATGCTGACCATTCTTCCGCTTCTCTAATATATCTTTTGTCACCTCAGGGTCCCGCATCTGCGAAGTCAACGGATCCCCTCGTTCATCGGCGGCGACCAAACACTTCGGACACCGATTTTCTTTACAGCATGCAACAAGACATTGTTCTGGGAAATCGGCCACATAAGCAGCAAGGATGGGGAAGACTCGACGGATTAACGAGTCCACACAGACCATCTCAACACCATTTCGACCGGCAGCAACGAGGGGTTCGAGGAGCAAGGACATGCAGTGGTGGAAAAGCCTGTAACCAGCAAGGGAGCGCGCATCAGAAGTAAAGCAATCAAGTTTTCCAGCAGGTAAGTATCCTATAAGGACCGTTGCTCGCACTGATGTTTGCTGCCTCTTCTCTTTCGCAATGTTTCCAATGGTTAGGTACACGGGCCACGCCGATTTATCGCCTCGAAATTGCGACAGACAAGTTTTGTCGGAAGCAAGAATTATGGGTGCGATTGTTGCACCTTTCGGCAACAGTTTCTAGATGCCATAGGTAAGTACTTATCATTTTCACTTTTCTGGGTGTACTTACTTGCTTGTCGCACCACCAGTCAGCCGTCCACATGTCGTCAATTACTCGGTGAAGTCCTGCTGGGTCTCTGTATGCTCGTGCAGGTGCGTACACCACGTGATCGCGGAACAATGGATTTCCAATGAGGTCTTTGACGCACTCGACAGGATCTCGCATCCAGACTTCGACTTCTTCATGCAGCGTCTGGCCCTTCTCATCTGTTTTATTTCCCTGGACCTTAACCTTTTTGCAACTCCAGGCTGTCGCGTGTGGAAGCTCGTCGACTTTCTGGAGGAAAGATCTGTTATTGTGAAAAGAAGGTTTCGTTCGGTTTTGTGTCTATCGCCATGGTGAGTACGAATCCTTCAAAATTCAACACTAAACTTGAACTTACTATCGGTAATTTCAGAAACTCGTCTGTTCGAGTCTGGCCGAGGTTTTTAACAAGCCATTCGGCGAGTCCCCATTCCTCCCTTGCGACCTGAAGTTAATTGCCTTGCAGATGTGACAGGCAATGATTGGTACGTACCCATCATCGAAGGGAGCCCATTTGTCTTCGCCCATACACTCCTTATACTCCTGAAACCTCTCAAAGCCGGTTTTTCCTTCACGCAGTGTTTGGCCGGCACCAACACATTGTTCAAAATATCGCGCATGGTCCTCGTCTTCAACCTCCTCAATGGTCACCCTCCGATGTTTTGGCACTGCTGGGTTGTCTGGATGATCGGGATTGGAAGACTCAGAGCGTGAGCGGCGATGGGGGGAATACGAGGAATACAAGTCAAAATGAGCCTGAGGTGTGCCGATGTCTTTTTGAGTTTCAACCAGCAGCTCCCACTGCCTTCTACAGTCAGGTTGATTATTGATATGTCTCCTGACACCTCCCTTTGAGCCCATCTCCTTGGCACAGAAATCGCAGTGAGGCATGGTGAGTGGGTTGCTTGCTAACTTTAAAACATTTTTTGATGATTTTTTTTTAAAGGCAGGCCCTGCCAGCACACTACACTACCCTTGGAGACGACTTTCGTTTGCGCGCTTCAGGCCTGTCACGGTGGATCCAACGGATGACATCGAGGTCGGTGGATATCTGTGGATCCAACGGATGACATCGAGGTTGTACGACTCGAGAACAGCGAAGATTGCTCTATGGTGAGTGTTTCCGAGGTTGCTTTCTCTACTGATTACTAATAAGTGATTTTAAAATGCAGGCCCTGCCCTGGTTACTGCGCCACACTACACTAGTCTTGATATACCATGGGCGGCAAGCACTAACTCGAACAGTTGTGCCCGTTTGGCCTCCTCACAGCGCCTCACTTCTGCCTCCCAGTGCTCTACAATGAGTCTTCGCAAGTTTGCTTGCAGTAAGGTAAGAGCTGGACCCGGCACCATTTCCAAGAGCTGCAACTTTTTTGCATGCTCGCAATTCTTCAATTCCGCCTCCCAACGCTCCGTAATTAGTTTTTGCAAGTAGGACTGACTAACCATGACAGGGCTGGGTGTTTGGCGAAACAGCGGAGGAAGTGGATACATAGGCTCATCGAGCTTTGGCCTGCAAGCCGGTGAGCATTGGGGCTGTGATGAAGACATGCAACTAACCTTTTGACAATAATATTTCCATTTTTACTGGTAGCGGTTTTGTCGCCTATGGCTGGGGACACTGGACTATACAATTTGTCAGAGCACGCCGGTGAGTATTTGATGCAGACTACATACCGCTTGTAGACTGAGATAACCATGGTAGGGAAATGTTGCACTGCAGTAACGGTACGCTCGCTGCTTTTATCATTTTCCGTCTGTTGATCACAGCTTTAGCTCTGAACTTTACACGCCCTGAAATCAACAAAAAAATTCAAGGTTTAGATGTCTTTGTTTATGTCTTTCATAGCGCTATAAAATCAGCTTACCGTGAGCTAATGTTCCCTTGCAGACAACCATGGCTACCAGTCGCAAGGTCGCCTCGAAGCACGCAAAATCGAAGGACACGCAACCAGCGCAACGAGTACCACCACCTACATGCACCGCAAGTGGTCGACAGTGACGCCCGACTGAAAAAGAAAACTACCGTGGTAAGCCCTGACAATATTGAGCGAGAACGTCTCACTCACTAGCAACTCTACAGTCTCTGAGTCTCAGCACGTCACCTATCGCCAAGAAACCAAGGAAAAGAAGATAGAAAAACAGAAGAAAAAAGCACTGAGGGCTGCTTATGATGCTGATCCCGACGGCTTCGAGGAAGAGCCGTCTGAGCTGTGTAGTGACATTGATAGGGAAGAAGAAAATATGGTACGTTCACCCGTTTTCTTTGACGCAACTGAGAATAATCACTGATTAAATTTTTTATTTAGTTCTCAGATTGCGACATGGTGTCCAAGCTGTCCCGGTCCAAATCAAAGGTACTGACATTCAGTGCTGGTAAAATACCCCCAGTGTCGCGCAACACCAGTGCCATGCGCAAGGCTACTACTACAGGTATGTGTCTAGTCTTTTGATTGTATACTAAGACTAATCCGCCTCTGCTACTATTGAGCAGCTCCAACTTCGAGTCCATCCGATGACTCCGAGTCGGATGAGTCAACAGACCATGAGTCTCGCCGACCTGAAGACCGCATTGATGACGAGGACAACGACTACGTCGCCAAAGAACTGTTGCCGATAGCTCGAGGGTCCAAGCGTCCACTTGACGACTCGGAGACTTTGGACGATGGCATGGCACTGCCGAAGATCAAGAAAAATTCAGATGGTTCACGCCATCGCATGAAAGTCAGCGACTTCGATGATGTGTCCAAAGAGATTTTGGGGACAGCAGCCTCTATTTTCCGGTGTCTGATAGTCTCCCAGGCGCCATTTCCCGAGAACATTGCTGTCGAGACACAGTTGGCAAAAGCAGCCTGGCATGAGGCATGTCAAATCAAAGGCATCAATGTCAAATTGACGCCTTCAGGTGTCAAAATGGTGAGTCGTCTGATCTCCATGTGTTCTTCAACTGATTTACTATATCATACTTTGCGAAGCTATTGACCCGCACATCACAAGTTCGCGGGGAACTCAAAACGAAAATGCATTCACTGACAGCATCTTTTTTCGGTTTCCAGTCGAGAAATTCCAACGATGTGATACGACAGAATAGGGATCTAGCAGAGTCTTTGAAAGACAGTTCTGTATTTGCTTTCAAGGTACATATTTTGATGATCTACATGGTATTTCAAGTACTAACTCTTTGGACTAATAGGATTGGGAGTCGAAGAAGGGAATCTACAAGACGGAGTTACTGCAACTGGGCATCAACATCATGTGGTTCACGAATCGACACGACGAAGGCGTCATCCACCATAAATATTTTAATCCTATGCCCGTCGAAGTTATCGCTCTTGTGCTTACAACTGTGAGTCTCTTATTCTATATTCAATTTGATGGCGCTGATGAATCACTGGTAGATCGAATGTTGTATCGACGAATGGTTACAAGGTCTGAAGGAAGATATCAAATTCATGTCGGCTACTTATGGAACTGTCTACCATGGACATTTCTGCTTGTTGCAGCGCTTCGACGAGCGGACGGCGCCTTACAAACTCCTCGACAAAATTCGTGTCAATCTGCATGACGTGGCGTGGTGCGTTGAACAGTGTTCTTTTTCAAAATGATATTCTTACTTTCGTGCTTTGAAGTTTCCATGCAGGTGTTGACACCCTCACTATCTCGTCGTCTGTATCCCGGATCAGTGACGCGGCATTCGAAGATGCCATCCGAGAGTACTGACTTGAGGAGGAGGATGATGCGGAGGCTAGCGAGTCGTAAAATAGGTTGACTGGTTCATTATTAGGCATTCAAATTCAATTGTTTTCGCGATTCCGCGTGCTACTACTACTACTAATATGTGATATGTGTGACTATATAGCTGCTTGAAGCCGGCAGTAGTAGCGCTACATGAACTATGTAGTGCTATGTAGCTGCCTGTAGTAGAACTTAAGGGAACTATGGTAGTACATAGTAGCGCTACCTGGTTCTACATAGCACTATATAGTACTACGTAGTACTACATAGTTGCCTCACATGCTATATAGAGGGGGGATAGCTATTTGGCTATACGGTCTACCCTGGCTATATAGTACTATATAGTCACCTTGTTTTTTCCTGATGCGAGCATGCTTTCAAATGTCTCGTTTGCTTTCTTGTGTAATTGTTGTGCACCACGAAGTGCTGCATGCCGCAGTTCGGACCCGTGACGAGAAGAAGGACTGAGTTTGATGACCTGCGTTGGAGTAATCAGTACAATCAACAGAAAACATGATAGATGTAGTCTGCACTGTGTCGGCGTCAGCAAGGGCCTGCACATAATGTTTTTGTGCCAAATAGGCCGTACTGCGGCGTTCAAAAAAGGAGTCGTGTGAGGGATCCAGCCTGATCACAGCCGAATAAAGTTCAACAGCCATCTCATAGTCGCTCGCGGCAATGGCCTCATCTGCCTTTGCGACACATCGTGCGACACAGTCTTGCTTGAAGGCTTATCAATATTAAAATGAATCCCGATGTTCAGGTTGTCTGATACAATAACACACTTACTGGAAGACCATTCGAGGCAGCCGCTCTTCGTATCGTCATCAATCATGCTCATCATATATTGAAAAGATTTGACTGCTTCGGTCACTCGATCAGCACGGAGGAGTGCGTCGCATCGTCGTTGATTGATAGTTCGCCATAAAGAATCAAAGTCCCAGCCAAAGAGCTGTTCGACGCATATCGTCCATGAGTAAAGCTGTCCTCGATGGCTAAGTTGTAAGGACATACCAGTGTGAATATTTTCCATCTAGGTTCCAAAAGTGTGGTGGGTGGGAACAAACCTGTTATAGTGGAAATACTGGCTGTGAGTTTATCAGCGGCTTTGCTGTACTGCCCATTCTGGAAAGTAATCATTGCAAGCTGTACATGTAGATATGCCTGAGGAGCGTATTTCAGAATAAGAAAATTCATCCGGTCTGACATAAAACCCACATCTACCATGCTGCACCGAAGTGCATCCGAGTGTTGGTCAGTGATAGCAAGACGTTGAACTCGCCGTATTGCTTCATTGTGGTGACCGGCATTGAAAATTACAACAGCCTAGACGAAGTCTTAGTACGACAGACAGACTATGAACACAACAATGAGCGTACCTTAATCAACAGTAAAAGATCAATAGCAACTGGATCACGATCACGATCAGAAAATGTGATAGCGAGGTCGAAAGCTTCCATCGCATCCCATAGCTGTCCATTGCCGCAGAGGGCAATGCTCTTGGAAATATATCCCCATAACGAGGGCTGGGTGGCAATTGACTGTAGCATATCCGTTATGAACAGACTACTAATGGTATGCAGAGAGTTTGACCTTGACTGCATCTTGAAGCGCATTATCCCATTCAGAACTCCATGCTCTGACCACTGAATGAATGGCATAAGAATCATATTTGTTGCCATCTTTGTCGATCTCTTGGGTTAGCAGCTTTTCAGCAGTATGCAGGTCACCAGCAACAGATGCATTCCAGACAGTCGGCAAGACTTTGATCTGTATCAAGGGAGTTCACGTTGCATGATAGGGAGACACGTTAAGGGCCTGAAAAGCTCACCTTAATATCATCGTATAATGGGTGTCCATTGATTTCATTGGCTTTGGCGCGGGTCTTGAGTTTTGTCCCATGTTCGGAGTCGGGTGGTGGGTGGTTCAGTGGTTGGGGCCCGGGATGGGGATCATGGTTGTTACCGATTTTCTTGGGGAGTGGAGGTTTTGGCAGTTTGCATGGACGAGAATCATTATTGTTGCCATCTTTCTTGGGTGGCGGGCGGTTTGATAGTTGACATTTGGGAGAAGGATCATTGGGTCCTGGGTGGTTTGGTGGTTGACATCTAGGAGAAGGATCGCTGGGTCCTGGGTGGTTTGGTGGTTGATGTCTGGGATGGTCATCGTGTCCTAGGCGATTTGGTGGTTGACGTCCGGAAAAGTCGCTGTGTCCTGGGCGATCTGGTAGTTGAGGAAGATCCTTGCGTCCTGGGTGGTTTGGTGATTGATGTCTGGGATGGTCATCGTGTCCTAGGCGATTTGGTAGTTGATGTCCGGATAAGTCGCCGTGTCCTGGGCGATCTGGTAGTTGAAGAAGATCCTTGCGTCCTGGGCGGTTTGGTGGTTGACGTCTGGAAAAGTCGTTGTGTCCTGGGCGATCTGGTAGTTGAGGAAGATCCTTGCATCCTGGGTGGTTTGGTGGTTGATGTCTGTGAGGATTGCTGGGTCCTGGGCAGTTTGGTGGTTGGCGCCTTGGATGGGGATCGTTTTTCTTGCCATCTTTCTTGTGTGCTGGGAGGTTTGGTGGTTGATGCACTGGATGGGGATCATCATTCCTGCCATCTTTCTTGTGCAATAGGCGGTTTAGTGCACGTATGGGGTGCCAGTGGGGGTGGTCATTGCCGACATCTTTGTTAGTATGCTGTGGGTGGGTTGGTGCTTGGTGTCTGGGGTAGGAGCTGTTGTCGTTGACATCTTCATTGTGCTGTGGGTGATTTGGTGGTTGGCGTCTGGGGTGGGGGTTGTAGTCACTGTTGACATCTTTGTTACTAGGTTGTGGATGGTTTGGTGCTTGCCACTGGTGGCGTCTAGAATATGGGTCATCATTGTTGCCATCTTCGCTATCATTTTCTTGTGTTGGCAGCAACTCAGTAGTATGCGCATTTGAGATGGTCGTAAATATCTGTATGAAATACTTAGCTCAAGTTGCAATGAGTACACACATTGACAGCAAAAGCTTACATTGTGTGATGGTTGTCTATTAGACCTGGAGCCAAAGTTAGAGCCACCGTCAGAGCCCTCATCACTTCTAGAGCGTTCGTCACTCCCTGAGTCTTCGTCACTTCCAGAGCCTTCATCAACAACCTTGTCTCCGCGGACTTCTTCATCAGCATCTTCATAACGGTCTTGATCAGCGACTTGGTGAGCATATTTGCCATTATAATAATCTTCTCCTCCAGTAGGGTCTTCACTCTCAGAGTCAGGGTGTTCACCCCATTGAGGGTCATCATCCTTGTCGAGGTCTTCACCCTCCGAGTCATCAAGGTCTTCACTCTCATCTGGGTGTTCACCCAATTGAGGGCCATCATCCCTGTCAAGGTCTTCACCCTCCGAGTCATCAGGGCCTTCACTCTTAGAGTCAGTGCGTTCACCCCATTGAGGGTCGTCATCCCTGTCGAGGTCTTCACCCTCCGAGCCATCAAGGTCTTCACTCTCACCAGGGTGTTCACCCCATTGAGAGTCGTCATCCCTGTTGAGGTCTTCGCCCTCTGAGTCATCAGAGTCTTCACCCTCATCAGGGCATCCATCCCATTGAGGGTCATCATCCCTGTTGAGATCTTCGCCCTCATCAGGGCGTTCACCCCATTGAGGGTCATCACCCCTGTCGAGGTCTTCACCCTCCGAGTCATCAAAGTCTTCACCCCCGTCAGGGTCTTCATTGTAAAGGTATTCGTCGTCGGAATATTGTTGCATTGTGGATCTTGTGTGTAGTGGGTAGCGCAGATTTTCTCCTTATAACCCTACTCAGGCGCTTATCCGTGATTTCTTCTTTAGCTCTGTAAAACTTGAATCCCACAATATTAATAACATTGCTTTTTCATCATCTCTACCCCCTTAACTTGACGTTTTTCTTACCTCAGTATTACCACGCTGCCACAGCTTCTATCAATGCCCTCTCCCCTTGTGAACACCTATTTGTTGGCTGGACGACAGCCCGCTCCTTGCTCGTATGGCTGTATGACGCATAACATCAGTCCGCTTCTTCACGTCGTCTCACCTCAGCGTTGTCCTAACATCATGCTGAGACTCACTCCATTCTAGCTTCGTACACTATTAACCCCTTCATTTGGTGCACCACCGCAGCCAACCTGCTCAGAAGAAGTAAGAACACATGTTTGGTACAATCACGCACTGCGGTCAATTCTGTGACCATATACTATTTCTTCTGCTCGGCGTATCTTTCATCTTGCTTTGCCATGGTGACTGGGGCCACCCAATGACCCAAAATAATTGTTAGGCATTATAGACGACGGGACGTCACATGGAAAGGTGGCCAAGGCATGTGTTTGCAGATTTGTCTGCTTGTTCATGCGATAATGAACTGTACCTTCCTAAAGGCCCAATCAACTGCACTGGCGCTAGATTGACATGACAGTATGTCCATGAAGGTGACATGTAGGATCAACACCATAACTGTCATCTGTCACTCGATAACAACACACCTTCAGGATATGTATATGTAGACGATTATACCATCTCGAGGGTTTGACAAAGAAACATAGCCTGAGCAACTCGTCTAGAAAAAAGAGACTCAGGGTAGTCTGAAATTGGCCATATGACTCGGAAAAGGGTGGCCTTATTTCACATATTACAGTGACCTATCTCCGTATAATACGAGGGAACGGACATGCATAATATCCCGTATGATACGGGCCAGCGGACCATGGGCCCATGATAAAAATATCCTCGACTATGACGGATGGGCCGGGAGGCAAATTATTCCCGATGGAGGCGGGTGGGCCCATGCAGGGAATATATAGAGTAGATGAGTGGGCCGATGTATATGAATATTAGGTAGACGGGTGGGCCGAGGTAGTTGGATATTATGCAGATGGGTGTATTAAGGTAGATGTGTATGAGATAGATGGGTAGGTACTTGTTATCACATTCACGGGTGGGCCCAGACACATATTAAATTAGACGGGTGGGCTGAGGGTATTATAAAATATTGTATTAGACGGGTAGGCCCAGACGCATATTAATTAGACGGGTGGGCCGAGGGTGTTGTATGGGATGTTGTATTAGATGGGTGGGCCGAGGGTGGTATAAAATATAGATGGGTGGGCCCATGTGTATCATAATTGTAGACATGATGGAGCTGAGGTAGTTGTACATCAACCAAATCAGAGGAGGTAATAAATCAAAGTTACCGAGTTCCCGGAGCAGCAGGTGATCTCCTGACATGGCCTTTGATGGTGCACAGGTTGTCTTGCAGAATTTGGAATCCGGGGTGCAAAGCTTGTGTTGCCCTACGAGACACCAAGTTCCGACCACCCAAATTTGGGTCAACCGTACCGACTTCTGAGTTCCAGGACCCGGGAGTCGACAAATGAATATCTGATAACCAGCACACTTCCAATCAGGTAGTATTTCATTGAGCAATGGATCATCCAAGGGGTCCCTTATCGGACTCGGTAGTCAATATAGGCAAATGATAATGAAAACATGAAAGTTGTTATTATGCTATTTTTCAAACCCGAGACCCTGAAACCCATTGTTCAACATGTCCATTTTTCACTCACTGCACAAATCACCGAGTTTCGAGTGCTGAAACCCAAAACTCAAAACCCGGTGTGCAACACATCGATTGTTCATTTACATTACACAGATCATCGAGTTCCGAGTGTTGAGCGCCGAAACCCGAAAATATGTATGGAACATGTCCATTTCTTACTCATTGCACATATCACCGAGTTTCGAGTGCTGAAACCCGAAACTCGAAACCCAGTGTGCATCATGTCCATTGTTCAATTATATTACACAAGTCATCGAGTTCCGAGTTCCGAGGGACGAAATCCAAACCCCGGACCCCGAAAATATGTGCGCAACATGTCCATTTTTCACTCACTGCACAAATCACTGAGTTTCGAGTGCCAAAGCATGAAACTTGAAACCCAGTGTGCAACATGTTGATTTTTCATTTATATCACACAAATAACCAAGTGCCAAGTGCCAAGTGCCGAAACCCGAAGCCCGAGACCCGAAAATATGTATGCAACATTTCCATTTTTCACTTGTTGCACAAATCACTGAGTTTCAAGTGCCGAAACCCGAAACTCAAAACCGGGTGTGCAATATGTTCATTGTTCATTTACATTACACAGATCATCGAGTTCCGAGTGCCGAGTGCCGAAACCCGAAGCCCGAGACCCGAAAATATGTACACAACATGTCCATTTTTCACTCACTGCACAAATCACCGAGTTTCGAGTGCCAAAGCGTGAAACTTGAAACCCAGTGTGCAACATGTTGATTTTTCATTTATATCACACAAATAACCAAGTGCCAAGTGCCAAGTGCCGAAACCCGAAGCCCGAGACCCGAAAATATGTATGCAACATTTCCATTTTTCACTTGTTGCACAAATCACTGAGTTTCAAGTGCTGAAACCCAAAACTCGAAACCTGGTGTGCAACATGTTCATTGTTCATTTACATTACACAGATCATCGAGTTCCGAGTGCCGAGGGCCGAAACCCGAAGCCTGAAACCCAAAATCATGTACACAACATGTCCATTTTTCACTCATTGCACAAATCACCAAGTGTCGAGTGTCGAAACCTGAAACCCGGTACTTCAAATGGACACGAATTGTATTTGTATGTATTATCCATTGGTGTAGGGTTCAAATAACTTGGGAATTGTATTTGTCAGCACTCGGTACTCGAGACTCAGTAGTCAATATAGGCAAATGATAATGAAAAATGACAGTTGTAGTCCACGTCAAGGTGAGTGTCTTGGTAGTCTTTCCTTGTCATTCGGCAAAACATCAGCAATAATGAAAAAATGAAAGTTGTTATTATGCTTAACTTCCTTACCGAAGGTTGTAGTCCAAGTCCAGGTGAGTGTAGTGATAGTCTTTTCTTGTCAATTGGTTATCTTGTTACTCATTACGCAGTACTCGGTACATGGTAATTGGTACTCAGTATTTGGTTTTGATACTCGGTACCCGGGAATCAGTAGTCAGCTTAATGAAGGTTGTAGTCCGAGTCTAGGTGAGTTTATTTGTAGTCTTTTCTCGTCCATTGGTTACCATGTGACCGAGATATAAGCTAAAGAAATCCGAAACATCAATAATGACAAATGAAATACATGTGTGCAGTAAGTGAGTCTAAAGATAAAAGAATGAATATTAATAGCGAGACTTGCACATTATGTCGAGATATCCAACATAACAAGCCTGTGATGTGATCAGAGACCTGGAATAACACCCATATACATCCATTATAATAGCTTAAAAGCTTAGAAAGATTCATGAAGGATTGATGTAATGATAGGCAAAATGACATATGTGTGGAGAGTGACAATAGACATCTTTTATACAAAGTCACATTTATATATGATTCAGGCCAAAAATATCATTACAAATATGTAGGATAGATCGTAAACTACCCAAGGAACCCATACTGCCTACTGCCCTGAGGGTAGGGGGTGGGTAGAAGGGATATAGTGAAAATATGAGTTGACCCAGCATTAAAGTCCTACCACTGCTCAACTAACCATTTTCGATGCTTTGGGTCTTTGAAGTTTCCCACACTCAATTTCTTACCCATTTCACTTCCTCAGTACTCAATTCTTGGTTGATTTGTCTGTAAATTTATGTCTATGATACTTAAGATATTTGAAATGTACCCCAGGTTTCTGATTATGAAGATTCAATGTTTTGAAGGCATGGGCCCCTTATCAGGCGAAATGGCAAGTATACACACTAGCTCACAAACTCCAGCCTATTGTGAGCTGATCTTGGTCATAAGAAGCAAGAATATAAGCTATGCTCATTATATATTAAAAGGTTGGATCATGGATGCAAGGGCAAGATACTGAAAATCGTGAAAAAATATCACAAGTGCAATTGTCTATGCTTTGTTCCTGGAAAAGGATCCTGTGTGTCCTGGGCTGGTTATATGATATATCTACTCCGAATATGCTCAGGAATAGACTCCCTACAGTCCTTGAGGTCCAGTCCTACAGGGAAAAAACCCCAGCAGGTGAACCACCAGAAGAGGGGGAGGTACACTATACAATAAAGGATTACCCTATGGTCCTGAGCTCCTGATACATTGTTTCTATTGTTGAATAGATGATTGAGATACTATTCACCTAGAAATGAACACATAGGAACATATTTTGTATTTTTATGTATATATGCAATATCCATTCAAGCACCAAGTCTCAACTACCGATTACCAAGTCCCGACATTTGATAGTTGATAGTCAGTATTCGAGCTCCGAGTGCCAATATTGCCTACCAATATCTCAGTCAAATGATAACCAAACCAAGACCCAAGTTCCAAACCTGACTACTGAATACCAAGTATCAGTACTCGGGACTCGGGACTATTGGCTGGAGTACCCAACTATTGATTCACAGGTACCGAGAATTAGAACCAAGTACTGAGTACCTGACTACTGATTCTCGGGTACCAAGTATCAGAACCGAGTACCGAGTACCCCACTACTGATTCTCGGGTATCAAGTATCAGAACCAAATACCAAGTACTGATTCCCTTGTACCGAGTACCGAGTAACGAGATAACCAATTGACAAGAAAAAACTACCAATACACTCACCTTGGCTCGGACTACAACTTTTGTTCAGGAACTTAAACATAATAATAACTTTCATTTTTCATTATTGCCGATGTTTCAGATTTCTTTAGCTTATATCTCGGTTAAATGATAACTGATGGACAAG